GAGATAGAGTCTCACTTTATCATCCTCAGTAAAGTGCTGTGACATCATAGCCCAAGCAACCTCAAACTCTTGGGCTTAATCGATCCTCTTGCCTCCACCTCCTAAGTAGTACAGGCGCCCACCACAACATCGGGGGTCTCACTCTGCCTCAGGCTGGTCAAGAACTCAAGCGATCCAGTTGCCTCAGCCTCCCAGAGTGTTATGATTACAGGCATGAGGCACCGCACCCAGCCTTCACTAGCTATTTTCTACTTCCAGACCTCTGCAGTGCCATTCATTCCTTCTGACTGGACTGCCGCCTTCTCCCCTTCATTACCTGGTAGATTCCTTCTCGTTTTTGAAGACACAGTTCAAATACCATACACTTCAAGATTTCCAGAGTTCCTTGGGACCTAGCACTGTTAACAAGCTGACCATGCTGCACTGAAATTTTCTCTGTGTCTGTCACCCCCACTAGACTGTGAGTTCTTTCTTTTGTGGTCTCAGAACAGAGCAGAAGTGGTCAGTCAACACTTGTGAAGCTGAACTGAGCTTGTAACTAACCACTGAATGACTGACCAACTAAGGTCTGTAGCCCTGTCACTCTGTATTTCCCCACTTTCAATTGTTCGTTCCTACGTTATTTCATTCGATGGGTATTTACTGAGTATTATGTGCCAGCCACTGTTCTAGAAGAATGGCCAATGAAGGAAGTGGAAAACTAAGAGAGTGTGGTGTCTTGGAAACCAAGTAAAGAAAGGGTTTCAAGGTAGAAGTGATCAACTGTGTTAAATGCTGCCAATAGGCCAAGTAAGAAGAGATCTGAGACTTACTCATCACTATAACAATGTGAACATCTTCAGGGACTTCAGCAGTTTTGCTGAGGTGTTTGGGCAAAAAATCTGATTAGAGTTATTTCAGAAAGGCATGGGAGGAGAGAAGAACTGAAGAAAGTTGGCATAAATATTTCTTTCAATATGTTTTGCTGTAAAGGGAATAAATATATGGTGTTTTATTTTACTATGCAACGTTTTTATTTGCATGCAGTAAATATATCTGTCCTTTCCTTCAAAGCTTCTTGGTTTCTTGTTTTGAATAGAAATGAGATGTCTGTAGACAGCACCTCTGGTATGAATTTTTCACAATACATTAATTCCTCTGTCCTCTATGAGGCCTTCCTTATCTTGGGAGCTGAGGGATCTCCCACTGGTGATATGAAAGGCTGGTTTTTAGTAACCTCAGAACTTTCTGGCTGGTTCACAACTGATGTCCCCACATCCACAAGTGACCACAGCCACCACCGCAGCCATGTGACTGACACCAAACCCTCATGTGGCCACCACTCTTCCTCCCTGGCTCCCACCACCATCTATATACACATCTGCAGGCTCCCACAGGCAGAATGTTAAAAAGACCAAAGGGCCACGTGGATTAAGACCATGAGGTGAGGAGACATGGATCCTTAAGGACACAATAAAGCAGAAGCAGGCATGACCATGTCCCACTCCCCACCACGATCCTCCCACAGAATGCGACCACCCTGAACACTCGTGTCCAAACAAGAGAACAATGCACAGCAAGACACATCATTTCTCATAGAGCTCTATTGTGGCATATAATAATAGGTACTCTATATAAATTAAATTAAAAATAAAGCTCCAGCAGGTTGCACAGGTTGACTGTTAATAAATATATCTCTGGGTAATTGTGCCCCAAGACCAGCTCACGACCACTCTCCCTCGTCCAGAGAATTATACAAAAATAAATACAGGCTTGGGGGGCAAGGGAGGGGGAGGACATGCCCAATTCCATTCTAAAAGCTCTTCTCACTCACACCATCCACTGATCCCCATTCCTCTCCATTGGTACCACCACAGGGAGCCCTGTGCTAAATGGAGAATTCAGGGACGAGAAGTCCTCTCTCTAGTCGAGCATTCTCAGAAGCAAAGGACCAAAGTACCCTCACAGTACAGGCCACATATCTAATCTCAATCCTCTGGGGTGGTGCAGGGACTACCCCTCCCCAGGCCCCAGAGACGGGGAGTCCTGTTATTGCTGATTCCACAAGCAGCCCCTACGAGAACCAGGCCAGAGAGAGGCACAGCGCAAGCACCAGGAGGGACATACCACTGTTCAGAGCCACAGGGACCACTACCAGCCCAGCCAGGACACCCAGAGTCTGGGTCAAGGGCCCCCGGAGCTGAGGAGGCAATGCACACACACATTCTGCAGGGGCTGTTAGAGTGGGAGAACTTTTGAGGGGTTCAAAGCTTGGGCTTACACCCTGTCCATCCTGGGAGCTCACATGAGGCCTGGCCATACTAGACAGATGGACTTTGGCCCCCAAGGGACCGAAAAGGGTGGGATTTTGTCCCTGCATAAGGACCGGAACAGCTGGCTCCCTGCCAGATATAGGATCCAAGCTGCCTGCCAGCTCAGTGGCAACCTCCATCTGAGCATCTGGCCCAGCCTCCCCAAGAGACCCAGTTACCCCAGCTACCACTGTATTCATGTGCAAAGAGTCAGTGTCCTTACCTATCCCTTTCTCTGGGTCCCCAGTGAACTGACCCTCTGTGCTCAGAACCACAGGGCTATCACTTCCTGAGCCTTCTGCCCATGGAAGCCACACATCTCCCATAGTGTCTACCACAGAACGGGCCCCAGAGAGGATTTCCGGAGGTGATTCCTTAGGGCTGTCCCCTTCTAGGCTGGACGGTGTGATGGAGAGCCCCTCTTCACCCTCCCCCTCCTCATCAGGGTCTTCAGTATCCTTGATGAGCTCCACACCGCGTCCCAGCCGGGCGTAGTGCAGCGTGATCTCCTCAGCCAGAGCACTGTTCAGGGCCCGCTCAGGGCCAGGCCATTTCAAGATCAGGTCACGGTCCGTGAGTATGCCCAGGGGATGGCTGGGGGACATCCCGCCATCTGTGGGGCCCTCCCCGCCACCCCCTGCCCCACCTGCAGCCACAGCAGCCCGCAGGCGGCTCAGGTGAGACAAGTAGAGCTGCTCCAGCTCCTGGTCAATGGTGTCTTCACCAAGCAGCTCCTCTAACCCACTTATGACTTCCAGACCCCCAGGGTGTTCATCCATAATAGCCCCCACCATGGGGTCCTTTCGACCCCCTCCATTCTCACTTGATACTTCCCACATGGCCTCCACCTGCTGCTGGCTGGGTTCCAGGAAAGGCCCGCTGGCCCCTTCACTTGCATCGGGCCCAGAGGCCTGGTCTCTTGGGGAGCCACCCAGGCCACAGAGAGGGGAGGAGGGGGGAATCCTGATGGCTGGTGCCTGAAGGACCTCTGTGAAAGCCACAGGCGGACTGCTTCTGGGGATGTCACCTTCTTCTGGGGGGTTGCCAGTCATTGTAACTTCAGAAACCTGGAGCCGTGGGGGAGGGGAGGAGAAAGGGCAAGGAATAAAGTAGAGGAGGGGGTAGGACAAGCAGAGACAGTAAGAATTGGTGACAGCCATATCCAGTCCCACAGGGATTTCCATATAAAAACACCTTAAATAACCCTCTGCAAGTCTCTAAACTCCAAAGACCTTGACATCTCTAGTAAAACAACATACTTTGATGGCATAAAAAGGGACTTCTTGCAGATGATAAAGTTCGGCATCAATATTTTGGTGAATGACTGTCAGTAAATAATGTTCAAAATGTAGCCAGAATATCCATGTGAATCCATAAGGTGTCTTATCTTCTTAAAAACTGTATTTTCTAGCTCTGTCTTTTGAAAAGGCCTAGAAACAGGGTGGCGCCTGTGGCTCAGTGGGTACGGCACTGGCCCCATATACCGAGGGTGGCAGGTTCAAACCCGGCCCTGGCCAAACTGCAACAAAAAAATAGCCAGGCATTTGTGGCAGGCGCCTGTAGTCCTAGCTATTTGGGAGGCTGAGGCAAGAGAATTGCCTAAGCCCAGGAGCTGGAGGTTGCTGTGAGTTGTGTGACGCCACGGCACTCTACCAAGAGTGATAAAGTGAGACTCTTGTCTCTAAAAAAAAAAAAAAAGAAAAGAAAAGAAAAGGCCTAGAAACGATGAGCAATCTAGTTGTAACAAGCAGGCTGAGCCCCCACAGTCTCTAAAGACCATTCGTTGTCCACTAAAAGAAACCAGAACTCCTCAAAGAAATGGTTGTTTCCAGGGTTGGGGCAGGGAAAGACCAGAATGAGCATGGAACATATTATCCTACCAGGATGTGAGGAAGGGCTCATAGAATGATTGGAGCACAAGAAAAGGACAGAAGAGCCAATCTAAATAAAAGCCTACTGGCCAGAGAGGGTTCAATTGAAGCATCAAAAAAAAAAAGTGCAATGGATTAAAATTTATCAAATATATTTAGAATCTATGAGATAGAATGACACACCAAAACCAAAAATCCATTCTCTTTTTTTTTCTGAAAACTGCTAAATAAAAGGGGGAAAATTAAGTATTTACACTGCTTTTCCTATACAAACTACACCTCAAGGTAGCCAAACAGTTGGTATGAGACAGTTTTTCTTTAGAGAAGAGTTCCAGCTAACCAAGGAAGGGGGAATAAAAGAATTAAGTAGAGTTAATTCTATTTACATTAATTTAATAATAAAAGATTAAATGTAATTTAATATAATAGTTTAATACATTAATTAAATTTAACTATAAAAGACTAAATCAATTAATAGCATTAATAAATGAGTAAAAATAAAGTAAGAAACATGTTTCCACCTGGATGTAATCAGCCAGACTATGGAAAATCCTACAGGACAAACAAGGTTTCTTTAACCAACAAATTGCAAGGAAAGAAAGTGGAGGAGATTAAAACAACTAAACAAATGGCTTGGCGCCTGTAGCACAGTGGTTACAGCGCCAGCCACATGCACCAAGGCTGGCAGGTTTGAGCCCAGCTGGGACCAACTAAACAACAATGACAACTACAACAAAAAAATAGCCAGGAATTGTGGTGGGCACCTGTAGTCCCAGCTATTTGGGAGGCTGAGGCAAGAGAATCACTTAAGCCCAAGAGTTGGAGTTTGCTGTGAGCTGTGACACTATGGCACTCTACCAAGGACAACGTAGTGAGACTCTGTCTCAAAAAAAACCCCAAAAAACAACTAAACAAACACATCAATCACATACAATGTGTTAACCTTGTTTGGATCCTAAAGCACTTATGAGAGAAGGTAAACTTGAACACTGACCAAATACATGATGATACTAAAGAATTATTGTTAATTTTCTGAGGTGTGATGGTTGTATCATGGTTTCTTTTAAAAGTTCTTAATTTTCTGAGATACAAACTGGAGTATTTATGGATGGTATGATGATGTCTGTATTTTTCCCAACATAATTCCATAGAGAAGTTGAGGGGAAGAAGCAAGGTCCAGATAAAGTAGGTTGGACATGTGTTGTAATTTGCTAAAGCTGGGTGATGGTATATGTGGGTTCATTATATTAGCTACTTTTGTATACAAAAGGGTGCCAAAAATGTATACACATTTTAAGAAGACTGTATTAACTTTGTGAGACTCAATATATAATAATAACAAAAGATGAATACAAGTCACCTTACACACCTCTTATACTTGAGGAAGTCGAACATGATTTGAGTATTACAATTTTAACACAGTTTCTTCCTTTCTTAAAATGTTTATACATTTTTTGGCACCCTCCATGTGATAAAAATTTTTGTAATAAAAAGTTAAAACACACACTTACACCCCTCCAGAATGTCTCTACCTCCCTTGTCCCCAGGGTCACAGCACACCTGGACCACTGCAATGACCTCCTCCTCAGAGGTCACCTGCTTCTCCCAGAGGAAATGTATTAAATCCTGAGTCCTATCAGTTCCTCTTCTGCTCATGACCCTCCTGTGGCTCCCCCTCCTCTGCTTCTATTGTCCCTCACACCTGTCAGCCACAGCCCCACCTCAGGAATCTTGCACTGGCCTGGGACGCTCTTCCCCTAGTTACCCATGTGCCTCACTCATCTTCTTCATATTCATATCTGTACTCAAATCTCACTAATCATTACTAAGGACTTCCCAGGCCACCCAATGTAAAGTTGCAAATGCCCCCCCATACATGCGCGCACACACACACTGACACACACACACTCTTACCCATTCTCTATCCCTTTACGTTTTTCCTTAGCACTCATCATCAGCCCCAGGATGACCTGGGGATGGAACTCCAGGCTCCTAGCTTTGCTGATCTCCTAGACTTTTTTTTGAGACAGTCTCACTCTGTTCCCCAGGATAGAGTGCTGTGGCTTCATCATAGCTCACAGCAACCTCAAACTCCTGGGTTCAAGCAATCTCCTTGTCTCAGCCTCCCAGGTACCCGGGACTACAGGCACCCACCACAATGCCTGGCTAGCCCAGATTTTTTAAATAAAATGAAGTTTTTATTTGGATTATTTTATTATTTTATTTAATCAGGTATCACCCTACATGTAAGCCCCACAAAAAGGATTTTTGTTCACTACTGTATTTCCATGTCTGTAACGGTACTTGGGACAGAACAAGCACTCCATAAATATTTGCTAAATTAACAAATGAAATTCCTATAAACCCAAATGAATAACTGCATTCTCCCTTCTCCCACTGGGTTCTGAGTTTTGTTACCTCCCTCCAAGCTAGGGTGAACCCAGAGCTAGTCAGCCCCACCACCTAGCATATCTGTGATCCTACTATGAACCTCCCATTGGGCTAAATGCCCTGAGGATGCAGGGGCCAGCTCACCTGAAGTGTCATCTGGGGCCATGGACGGAGAGGGGTGGGGGCTACCAGGGGACCCACTGACTCCTGGACATCAGGACGCTCTGCTGGGGAGAAGAGAAAGGCAGCATTGGGGCAAGACAGATATACAAGCAGAAAATTTGCTATTCTAGCTAATTGGCAGTTTTGCTTCTGAAGCTTTCTGTGACAGTCTAAAGCAGAAGATGGATGGCTCTTCATTTTTATAGAAAGAAAAAGGGAAGACAGACATGATAAATACAAGCTAAAACTCCCGAAGCTGGCCAAGTGCTTACCCACAGCAGGGGTGTTATCACCCACGGTCTTCATCCTCAGCTCTTCCTCAGCAGGCCTGTGGGGCAGAGGAAAGAGTACATGGATCTGACACCCTGAGAGATCACTTTTGCCACCCACTGGCATCTTCTGAGCCTGTGTGGTGGCCTGTCTTCACCCTGACAGCCACTGTTTTCTCTTCTGCTGCCTCTTTTTATCCCTTGATCATAGAAGTCCTACACCCTCATTGTAGGAAAATTTACAGAATAAATGAAAGTATAAAGAAGCAGGAAAATCATATGCTGGCCAGAGGCAACCACTACTAACATCTTGGAAAATTTCATTCCAGATAATATATGAGATCATTTTGATTCTGTAGACATAATTTCACAGCTGGCTTTGTCTACTTTTCAATAAGAAACATTATATACTTTTGCAAACATTTCAAATGGCTGCTTAATGTTCATATCCTATGGCCTTCACCATAATTTATGTGGCTAGTCCCTTTCTACCGAGCAGCTAGGTTGTTTCCCTCATTTTGCTGTCACAAAGAAAATTTCAGTAAATAGCACTGGGCATAGTTTTATGGTTTGTTTCCTTAGGAATGTTCCTGGCTGTGGCAGAACCCCTGTTTTCCCAGAAAGAACAGGCATGGAAGACTGGGGGACACAGGAAGCACCAGAGGGGTGAAACGAAAGCAAATGGAGAATGCAAAGGGGGTCAGGGAGGCCTGGGTCCCTACACAACCCCTCCTGCATCCCCACATCAGTCTGGCAGGTCCCTTCACCCTCTTACTCATAAAGTGGAGCCAGTGGAGCCAGATATGCACATGAAGCAAAATGTGCAAGAGGAATGAGAGTGGAGAGGCAGACACTGGGGCCTGGCACACGGCAGGGGCCAAATCAATGGTAGATATTGTTCTTGTTGCTCTTCCATCAGGCCAGTCAGATCCCTGAGTGGCATAAGCCAAGGATATTTCAATCAGATACTGCCAGGGGTGGGATCTCATCATGGAGAAATCATTATTCTTTTTTTTTTTTTT